TAAAAAATGTCTATATACAGATGAATATTTACAGAGTTACCAACGTACATTATGGTGAATAGTACGCGGTCGCTTATAAGGTTGTTCTATTGTATAATCATAATTTCCTATACATTGAATGATGGTAGAGGGATGAGTTGCATGACCTTCATAAAATTTATGCACAGATTTTAGTATTTCTTCATCTATGGTAGTGATATTGAGATCATGGTGGAGAACCTTATTCCGAACGGACCATGGTGCTCCAGTCATGGTTCTAATAATTTTGTTTTGCAAGATATGATGGTGATTATATTTATGCGCATTTGATGCATTATATTTATGCGCAAAACACATAAATGAACCCAAATCTTCTAAATTGAAAGAAATTTATACTTTCTTTGAAGATATTGAAATAGATGATATTCTTAAAATGTTAACTGGGGTAAAATCTATGAAATTAAATAAAGAAATATTAGATTTGTATGATAAATATAAAAAAGAAGTATTATTTTCAACTGCTGATGATTTAGATCCTTCATTTAAAAATCTTGTTGTATATGATGACTGTGGTACAGAAAAAAAATCAAAAAGGTATTGAAGATATGTTTGTTAGAAGAAGAAAGAAAACGCTTGTATTAATTATATATCATACAACTTTTATTATCTCCTATCACTATTAGAAAAATTGGAAGTATTTTATATTTTTTAATACAGAATCTAAAAGTTCAACAAATAATAACAGACGTTGATGGTTATATATCAAAAGAAGAATTAAAAAATATATAATTTCTTGTTGTTTCTTCATGCTTGATTTAAAAAATTTTAAAAGGAGATATCGAAGGAATTTTAACCCTATATAAATATTGAAGAATATTTAGAGAAAAGAATATATATTTTTAGAAAAAGTTATAATCTATATCAAAAGATATGCATTACCTTAACAGTCAGTAAATTTATATTAAGTGCTTCAGGTTTATCAGCTTTTGCTTTTTAACTTCTTGCCACTTTAAGTGCAGGAATTGCTGAAGTCATTGAGAAAAGTTTAAATATTTTGGAAAGAAAAGTAGAATATAAACTGTGTTTTATTTTTTATAAACAGTTATTAAATTTACTGAAAGCTAAATCAATTACAGAAGAAGTTTATGCACAATAACAAGATTTTGTAACTCCTTTAAAATATTTTCCTGTTGAAAAATATGTAAAACAATCACAATTAAATGGATATAAATATATTTATAAATCCGAAGAATTTTTCATCCTTAGAAAAGTGTCAAAAAGACTTAATGTCTTAGTCTTTTTTACTTTTAATAAATGGATGTTTAACTGGGGTAAATTCTCTAAAAACACAACTTTAAGCGACGATTTAATTAGAAATTTCGAAAATGTTGTCGATTGGGAATTGATATCAAGCTATCAAAAATTATCTGAACTTTTTATCAGCGAATACAGAAATAGAGTAGACTGGATTAATATCAGCCTATCAGAAATTAAGTGAATCTTTTATGATTATCCATGAAATCAAGTAAAATAGGATATTATATCTAGATATAAAAAATTCATTTATTTTGAAAATTATAAAAAAATTAAATATGAAATCAATTTCTAGAATTAATTTTAATTATTGGAAAATACCATTGAAGAATTGAAAGATGTAGTCGTTTGGAATGAAATAAGGAAATATCAAGAACTAAGTTAAAACTTTTTAAATAAACATAAAGATAAAGTTGATTGATGTAAACCTGAATTATATAAACAATTATCTTGAAATTTTATTAAAAGACATAGTGATGAAATTCATATGAAATTATTAGCTCTTAATAAAATTATTATTGAAATTAGATGATTTTTCAAGTGACCTGTAATCCCAGATTTGAGGGAGCAAAACATTAAAAAAAAATCTAAATAAATAGAGACGGAAGAATTCAATAGACTTGTATCTTATCCAAAAACACTAAAATTAAAAAAATTAGATTCTGGAAATTATCATCTGATCTCAATGAAAAAAATTCAAAAAAAAAAAAAAAAAAAAAAAAAAAAAAAATGGAGATTCTGTCATTGTTAAATTAGATATGAATGATGAACCAACTTGCTTAAAAACATGGCAAACTTTCTGATAAACCATAAAATTAAATTAATAATGGAACTGTGTATTCTGCTATAAAAGGAATGCAAAAAATGGACAATATGTAAATAAATTTAAAGATTAGAATAATTTCTTGATATTTTTCTTAATTTTTTTTTATACTTTAATTAAACAATATGACCCCCCTGAAACGAGGGCCATAATAATAAATTATGACCCTCTGAAATGGGGGTCATAATTTAGTATTTTTATATATTCTGATGATTTTCCAAGTATGTAAATGTTTACACATTTTCTAAAATTAAATAAGATTTTTCCGTAATTTTTTGTACTTTAATTAAATAGTTCTCCCCCTTGGAAATTATATTAGAATCTGATCTCAATGAAAAAAATTCAAAAAAAAAAAAAAAAAAAAAAAAAAAATATGGAGATTCTGTCATTGTTAAATTAGATATGAATGATGAACCAACTTGCTTAAAAACATGGCAAACTTTCTGATAAAACCATAAATTAAATTAATAATGGAACCTGTGTATTCTGCTATAAAGGAATGAAAAATGGACAATATGTAAATAAATTTAAAGAATTAGAATAATTTCTTGATATTTTTCTTAATTTTTTATACTTTAATTAAACAATATGACCCCCTGAAACGAGGGCCATAATAATAAATTATGACCCTCTGAAATGGGGGTCATAATTTAGTATTTTTATATATTCTGATGATTTTCCAAGTATGTAAATGTTTACACATTTTCTAAAATTAAATAAGATTTTTCCGTAATTTTTTGTACTTTAATTAAATAGTTTTCCCCCTTGGAAATTATATTAGAATCTGATCTCAATGAAAAAAAAAAAAAAAAAAAAAAAAGAAAATGGAGATTTTGTCATTGTTAAATTAGATATGAATGATGAACCAACTTGCTTAAAAACATGGCAAACTTTCTGATAAAACCATAAATTAAATTAATAATGGAACCTGTGTATTCTGCTATAAAGGAATGAAAAATGGACAATATGTAAATAAATTTAAAGAATTAGAATAATAATTAATAATTATTATACATAAAATTTAATATATTAGAATATATTAAATTTTATGTATAATAATAAAATTCTAGAGCCCTAGATTTTAGTAAAGATTTTCTTTAAATCCAGGGGCCTAACTCCAAGCCCCCTATTCACTGTATCTTACATAATTTTTTAATCTTTTTTTTTTTGTCTCATTTGCTTTTTTTTTTTTTTTTTTTCCAATTAGGGTATGTGAAAAAATTTTAAAAATACTTGTTTTTATTACTATTTTTAATCCTTTTAGTCTTTTATAATTAAAGAAAATATTGTCTCAAATTTTTTAGTGTCTCAAAATTGATAAAAATTATGTTAAATATACAGCGTATGTCTCTAACTATGGAAAAACATCATGTTTCTATAAAAATATAGGCCATTTGGTGCATTTTGTTATTAAAAATACTAAAAGTGTCCAAAAAAGATGTGTCCTATAGGGATGGACATATGCTGCTAGTAACAAATAATTTCATCAGTATCATACAATGCAAATTAATTATGTATTATTTTCTATTGGGTTATATAAACAGTAACAGTAAACTTCATATACAATTGTATTGTATAAATTAACATTAAACTATTTATAACCAATTATATGGCTTACAGTAATTATTTATTATGCTCAACTATCAAAATCGTAAAAACAACCTTGTATTTAGCGTAAGTATATTGAAACACTCAATCGATTTCGAGGGCAGCTAAAGGTCCCTCCTCATCAGGAGAAAGAAATACCTATAAAGAAGAAAAATAAAGGGGAAGGAGTGTCAGAAACACGTGGTCCTTATCAGCACTGCACGTGGTTAACCGGATTTTTAATCAATCAATTACCTACAAACTTTAATGTTTGCTTACCATTGAACTTAATTATTTTGAGAGCTTGCGATTTGACCTTGGATTTCTCTTTCTCCCAGATTATTGACAAAGCCATTAAAAATTTTCAGATTCCCATCAAAGAAGACATTCCACTGTTAGAAATAATATTAATGACCTTGTCGTGCTTCCATTTTATCCTTCTGTTTAGCTATAAAATTGCACGGATTCTCCAGAAATTCAATTTTCAAGTCGGTTTTCTCCCCTATTAATAAAATTTCCCTCGATTCTAAAAGATTGCGTTTCTGTCTTAAATTCTTGGGAATTTAAGTATATCGGTCAGTGTGGTTTAAGATGTTGGCCAAATAAAAGAGTGTTGATTTCTATCAAGGAACAAATCTTATGTCAAAAAAGGCGAAATCAACAAGTCTCAATAGCGTATCATAGTTGGACATTTAACCATAAATTTTGACTTGTCTGCAAAAATTATAAAAAGGCTTCTTCCATTGGGATTGGATTTTCGATACTCTTTTCATATTCACAAAGATTAGCAGTTTAGTTAATGATTTGAAGTCCATCCGCCTTCTAATGCCTTTAAAATTCCTACTCTTAATTCAGTATTTTGCCGATAGATGGCGTAACTCCTCGCGTTTGGTACTACCGAGGCTATAAAAATCCTTCAGTGGTTGGCTTTCCATTATTCAAGTTCATTTGAGGTAAGGTGCAGTTGCCCCTCGCTCCCTATTTTTAACTTCGCTAATTTTTCTTGTCCTTTGTGTTCATGTTTGATCAGATAACCTGGCCAGTAAAAGTAGGCGGCCAGTGTACTCGATTAAAACTCAATGATAACCAGAAACCACTGTTTCAGATCCTTCCCCTTTGTTTTCTTCTTCTGGTATTTCTTTCTCCTGATGAGAGGGACCTTTATCTGCCCTCGAAATTGATTGAGTGTTTCAATATACTTACACTAAATACAAGGTTGTTTTTACGATTTTGATTGTCACATTAGCGTGTTTCTCTTCTAGTCTATGCTCAACTACTGTTAAATTTTGCATTTTAGTTCATTATCAAGTTATTACTACTCCAGCTGTCAAACTTAATGATGTGCATATGATACTGTATTTAACTACAAGTGCAGTAAGTATATTTTTTTCATTCATAACGTTCTCAATTTTTTACTAATTTTGTAATTTTATTAGTTAAACATAGATTACACCACTGTTGTAAATATATGTCATATATAAACTTAATATTATATGTATGATATAAAAATAAAATTTTTAATCCTTATAAATTATGTAAGTATGATCTAAAACTTCTGTTATACTAATGTTTTATTTTTTTACCATATTGCCATCCCCATATCGCATATTCAAGTTACCATAATTAATGAGTATCATATTCAGCATCAAAACAATGATTTTTCAAGCATTATGTGTATGTTAAATAATACCTAATACTAATGTGCCAGTGATTTTGATTTATATATATGCGATGATTTAAAAGTTATTGACACATTAGGGAACATGATTTACAGAGTGACAAAGCTTGGTGCATAAAAGATTTAATGGCTTGTAGTGACTTGTGTGTATGTAACTTTTTTTTTTTTTTTTTTAATTCTTGCGAAGCACATTCTTAATATGAATTACACAGCTTAATGTACGTAATCTTCTGTCTTCTTGATGGCATTTGTGCCATTTGTACGTCTTTATCACAATTAATTTAAATGGTAGGAAGAGCAACAGGTGGCAAGCTAATTGATGAGAGATAAGTGAGAGAAGATGTCACTAATGCAGCAATATTTTAAATTTCAAATTAAAAAATATTTCATTTTAAAATAATGATTTAAGTTCTTGTACTTTCCATAAGCACAAAGCAGTATTGAAAATGGTAGAAACAACATACAGAGGGTGTTTACACATTTTTAGAATGGTTTCGTTATAGAATTTTAAAAAGCAAGTGTTTTGGAATAAAAATTTCTAGCATCAGTGTATTATTTGAAATGGGAAATATGTCTGCTACAAAGTGTCACATGTGAACAAGTTGTGGATTGAAGGATGTGTTTTTGCACTTTATGGAGAGGAATATACCTATTTCATAATTCAAAACAATGTGAAATGTGTGGTATTAAAATTTTTAAGTGGAAAATAAGTTACATTATTAATTAGGAAGGTAAAAACCATCAGTCATTATTTCTACATGGAAAGAAGACTCCAAACAAATACCCTAGAAAGGTACATTTTATTTCTAAAGTTAAATTATATTGGTAACAAGAAAAAAGTCTGCTGACACAGATATCAGTTTCAAAGTCTTTAAAATCATCCATAGCAACAATAAAATAAATAAATAAATAAACCAAGATTTAGAATTTAACAAAACTGAAAAACATAATGTTCTCTAGCTTTTGCCAAGGCACGTGGCCCAGTGCAGAACAATTTGTCGAACTCTGTATGAAAACTACTTAGCAGGAAATGAATGGAATGCATTTTGCCTCTTGATGAAGCATGGGTTTACCTAAATGACTGCAATAAATTAAAATCTCTTTATTATCAGAAACAAAGATAAAAGAATTACAAACCTGCTTTTGTCAGTATTTCACAATAAGGGTTTTTGATTGTCTCAGGTTTCACTTACAGTCAGAAATTAAAAAATAAAATGAGTAGAAAAACATTTTAAAATCAACTCATCATACTATTGATTTACAGAAATTTTACATCTAATATTTACAGAAGAAATACCTTTTTTAAAGTGAATTAGAAAATTTTAAAGAAGCAAGATAAAAATTGTTAAAATCAACTCAATATTTTATCAAGAGAAAATTTTACATCTTATATTTACAGAAAAAATTCCATTTCTTTATCCCAGTGATTTTCAAAGAGTAAAACTTTGTTAAGACAATGTCTAAGACATGTCTAAGGTGTTTAAAGGTTCAGACGGGTGATGTTAATATCACAGAGGCATAGTCACAAGGAATAAAATGCGAGAGTTCTGTTCATGCCTGCAATGCAGGTTCTAAGTCGTACCCAATTAGAGAAGCTAAATATGTGCATGCTTGGGTGTGTCTACAGCTTTCCTACTCTGTTTTCCCATTCAGGTTTCGTATGTTCGCTCTGATTGGTCGATGCTTATCCCAAGTCGGCATAAAGTGGAAAACTTCAAACTTGCCAAGAGCCCTAAACCAGATTTTGTGACGTAGCACAGACTGGTTGCCTAGCAATGCAGCTCGGCTTAAACCACTTATGCCTTTTATACTGTCATCTGAATGCAGCTTGAGGTGACCACCCATAGTTTCAGATAAGTTGGGCCTTCTTTAGCGATGGCTATTTTAAAGAGGCAATATTCATACCAAGTGTTTTTTATATTCTCCAAAATACTAGTCGCATTCAAATTTAATCATCCAAAAGAAAGGTTGCTGCAATAACATTTGCTATATATAGATGCATACAGTCATTTATACTATATTTACTTTTTATGCACTGTTTATTGTATTGTGGTCTCTGTCAACTCTATTTTTCCCCCTGCACTGAATGCTTATGAAATTACTTTAGAAATTTTCCATTAAATAAATATGTATATATTTTTTTCACAAAATGATATAAATGTCTGATTTTTTTCATTGGGAACCTCTCATTTTCACTATAACTCAGGTGATCTTATGTTCCTGTTTCTGTGGTCTTCTTACCTCACATGTTATAATAAGGGAGCACTGTATTTCTGTGCATAGGACTAAATTTTGCTGTGAAGTTGCATTGTTATGCATATTTTAAAAGTAAATACAGGTAGCCCTCCTACAATACGGCATCCTGTAACACGGTTTCGCTATAACACGATTCATAGATTGCGAGAACCCTCCTACAACACAGTTTTCCTATAACATGGTTTCGCTCTAACACGATAAGAAAATAGCCCAAGCAATCCGAAGAAATTCAATGAAATTCGCATGAAGTTTTTCCATATTGTGCAAAGCACCCATGTGGTCATATAACCCTCTGAGCGGCATGGGTTTTTGGAGCTGTCATGAAGACCTGTATTCAAAGACACTTTACTAGCTAAATTTGTATATTTACGTACTTTAGGCTGTATTTTCATGAACTTACATTTATTAAGATGATATTTATATTATTAAAGAAAGTAAGAAAGCAAAATATCATAAATTATAAGCTAATATATGTAGCAAATTCCAAAAAACATCATGACCAGATAAAGCCGGCCATAACTCTCAGAGGGTTAACACATAAGAATCCTTGTTTTGTAAGTTCTTCCAGTTGTCTTCCAAGATGCGGTACCCATAAGAACAAATGTTCTCAGATGAACAGATGTCCTCAGATGACCCGTATGAACAAATGTCCCCAGATAACATTGAAGAAAACTCACTATCGCAGAAGGTGGAACAACATGAGGTAACAATAAGTGCTTTAAAACGCACAACCTGCACATTCGGCTTCCAAAATTCGAATCCTCGTCTCCATGGCCTGAAAACAAAAGTGTCACACACTGCTGGTCCGCAGTCTACGTCCAGCCATGGTGTGTTAAAGAATAACTTTTTCGTTTTTAAAACATTAAATTTCAGTCCTCGAACATGTCCTATAAAGATATAAAAGCAATATTTAGGAGGAAATTCATTTCTTTAGAAGTTACAGATACAAATATTGGACCATCTTCTAAAAGGAGAAAATTCATCTCACATTGAAAAAAGTTTTAATTAGAATGAAGAAATAGTCCGGACTATTAAGAAAAATGAAAAAGAAATAAGAAGTGCAGTTGCTTCAGGATCTTCGACGTCCGCAAAACGTGAAGTTCACCCCCGGGGGCGCCATTATTTGAGAAGTTGGAAAAGGCATTCAGCATTTGGATTGATGATAGCTATCAAAGAAGAATTTCGTTGAATGGTAATATCATTAAACAAAAAGCACTCATTTTTCAAGCACCTCAAAGAACATGGAGAACCCTCTGTCAATCCAGATTTTCTGGTAAGTAAAGGTTGGTTCGAAAATTTCAAAAAGTGCTTTGCAATTCATACCATAAGAATTCAAAGAGAATTTGCATCGGCTGATTATGAAGCTGCTAGGACATTTCCTAAAAAATTGCAAAATATTATAGAAGAACAAGGATACACAGCAGTTCAAGTTTTCGATGCCAACAAAACTGGGCTTTGGTGGAAACAAAATGCCCAGTAGAACCTTTATATCCAAAAAAAGGAAAAACTGCATCATGATTTAAGGTGTCTGAAATTTGTCTAATGCTACTTTTGTGCAGCATGACTCTGGACTTTATGACAAAACCCTTGTTAGTTTATAGATATTTAAATAATAAGAACAACTTACCGGTTTATTGGAAAGCAAATAAAAGAGGTTGTGTAGCTGGGAATATATTTAGAGAATGGCTTTTAAATTGTTTTATGCCAGACGCTGAACGTTATTTAAGGCAGAAAAATTTTAGCTTCAAGGCACTTATTATTATTAGATAATGCTCCATGTCACCCAAAAGATTTGAATCATCCCAATGTCAAAATACTGTTTCTACCACTTAACATTGCTTCGTTACTCCAACCATTGGCTCAAGGTATTATTTAAACCTTTAAAACATATTGCATAAGAAGAGCATTACAGTAGATTTTAGACGTAACCGATTCAAAATCAATTAATGTAATGGAAGCTTGGAAGACATTTTCAACCAAGAACTGAATCAACATCGTATCTTTGTTGCTGAAAGAGCTGAAACCATCAACGTTAAATACATGATAGAAAAAGATATGGCCCTCTTCAGCTGAAATAGAAAACGTGCGTGAATCGTCAGAAAATGAAATTGGTGGCATAATAGAACTTGCTAAATCAATTGGAGGTGAAGATTTTGTTAACATGGCTATTGAAGACGTTCAAGTTTTTTTAGTGGAAGAAGAAATTAATGAAGATTTGATAGAAATGGCATCCAAAGCTGTAAATCAGTCGACTCTGAGGACACTACCACTGATGAAAATTGTGAAGGTAATAATTTAACGTTAAATAAAAGACCTACATTTAGCTAAAAATTATTTTTCTTGAGTGCAGACCCTTCTACTGAAAAAGTCGAAAATTTAAAAGGGAGTTGCAAAACTGTCTAGCTCTATATCAAGAAATTAAAAATGACCTGGTAAGAACTAGTAAGCGAAGTAAAATTATAATTTTTTTAAAGAAGGAAGAAAATGCCAGAACTTTAAATGAAGAATGAAATTCTGAAAGCAATCTCATTTCCACAAAAAAAAAAAAAAAAAAAAAAAAAAAAAAATATTAATCATACTGAGCAATGACAACAAAGAAATTTATTAAACTAAAGTTGTGTTAAATGAAAATATGTAATATTTTTTGTTTTGTGTTCCACATACGTATATATTTTTATTATGTATAATTAAAAAGTATTTTTTTTAATAAATTTTCGGAACATAACCCCCTTTCTTTTTATACTGGCTCTTGTTCTCATACAACACAGTTTCACACAACACGAAATTTTCTAGGAACGTATATACTGTGTTATATGAGGGTTACCTGTATATTTAAAATCGAAAATGGTGTAAAACTAGATGTAGAGATAATAGCATAACATTTTAGATAATTAATTGGTTAGAATTTCTTTAACATAATTATCTATATTTCATTTCAGCAAAATAATATTCGCCGAAATGTTTTAGAATTCTCAGGATTTCCTTTTGATGAATCTTCATCAGAATACCATTGTCGGAGAAGTCTCATGGAAAAGTAAGTTTAAATTCCATATCATAAATTATTGTACAGTACTTCTCATTCATCATTATGTGATTATTGTTAACTTTTCTTAGTACATAGACCAACTATGAATATGTAAAGCAAAATTATCTTGTAAAGTTGAATCTTCATTACTTTCTTTTGCTTTTTCCAGAATGAGTTTAGAAGATCTGAAAACTGTAGCTACCGTTCTTTGCGTCTCACAGTACATTGTAGATGAATCAAAATGCAGTCTTATTGATGCTGTACTGAAATTTTTATTGAAACCGTCAGCTCTGCTTAATAGTAAGAAAAAATCCCTTTGTCATAGTAATAAAAAAGGAGTTTATAACTGCATGGATTTGTAGTAAATTAGAAATTTTATTTATTTATTTATTTATTTGAAATTATGCAACTTAAATCTATTGATTAAAATATTATATATGTGATGAAAACTGTACTTATGGATATTTTGGATACTGTATTATTTCACTTGCAGTCTCACAATTTCATATGATAAAATTCACAATAATGAAAAATAACATTTCCTGTAATCAAACTAAAATTAGATAGTCATAATAGGAGATTTTTTGTGGTAAAGTTAAGCAGTGGTAATAGCAATTATTATTATTATTATTAGTAGTATTTTAAACTTTTTGTGGACCACATAGTATAACAGATGGCTTATAGAAGTAAATTAAAAAATACAAATAACGCAACACAAAATAACATAAAACTTATAGAATTTACACATGAAATGTAAGACATAAATATACAAAATTCCATTTTATCTTGAACAAATGCATGAAAAGGCAAAAAGGAATTTAACTGGGATATGGGTTATTTTCTTCCTTGCATATGCTTCATGTAGTAGAAAACAAATTTTCAACATTTTGCATTCCCCTGAAGCTACCAGAATGAGTCCCAATGAGATAGCTCACATCTCTTTGTATGTGAACTGAGATTACCATGCCCATTTAAAAATTTAGTAATTTCAAAATTACAGAAAAAAAATTATTACTGAATTTGTGAGTAATAGAAAGGGAAAATAATTAAGAGATGGAGTATAAGAATTTGTGTACAATTTATTGCACTTAAGAATTGTTTTGGTTAAACTTTATTTCTTGAAGAATGATTTAGACAGTGTCACTGTGGTGTTAACTTGAAGGTCTGTAACTTGTTTTGCCAATCAACCAGCCTTTTCATTTCCTGGATTGCCAGTATGCCCACATACATTGAGAAGATGACATCAACAGCTTTATTTCTAAGTTCTTTAATAATCTTATAGAAGTGGCAATTAATTTATTACAGAAAAAGATATTCATAAGAGAATTTAAGGATGAAAGAGAATCAGTACAAATGAGGAAATTATAATGTAACAAACACTAGAACTATTGTAAAATGCATCGTAAACAGTCCAATTTGATTATTAATGTTACTGCTATCTGTATAACGCACAATTGGAAAATTATCTTCAATGGAATTTTCCTAACTTATAGTTTGAATAGGGAACTGAGCAGCAGAGGTGAGAAAGTCCTCAAAAAGCACCTTTGAATCAAAAATAAGTTTTGGTGATATTATCTTTAAATTCTTTGTCACATAAAATATGAAGATCAGTTGGAGGTGTGGAGCACTGCAAAACAGGTTTCATAGCTAATTGTTCTACAGGCACACACAACTGTTTGTAAATTTCTTCTTTGAATTTTGTGAAAACACAAAAATTAATCTTCTTTTGCAAAGCTGTTCCTCACACTCTAGACACTTAGCAAACAAAAGGGACTGTACCTTGTTTATAAATTAATAACATTAGATTTTAACCAAAAATATTGCATGGCATGATTAATCCTCTAAGAATACTTTCATGTTTTTTTAATAAATACATAATAAGATTTTTCCACCAAAATTTTTCATCGAGAATAATATCTGAATATTTAATTTCATTCATCATTTCTGCTAAAATATTATTGAAGTACAACTGACATGCTTTCTTTTTATTACTACAGTTTTAGATTTATTAGAATTATAAACTCCTCCTGCTGTCTAGACCAGTCTAGAACTCTATAAAAAGAGTATCAGGACACTTCCCTTCAAAACAGAGCAAGTAAAACTTCAGCAAAAGAAATTGTTTCACAGTCCAGACAACTGAGAATATAGTGAGATTATCATTAAATTCCATTGTAAAGATCCAGATATAGAGCCTTGAGGGCAACCTTTTTCAAACGTGCGGAAGTAGAAACATGACCAAGGGAGAGCAATGCAGATCTATCATGCATAAAATCTTAAACAGGGCAAAAAAATGTTACATAGAATAACAATTCTCCTTAAAAAAACAAGTTATCCAGACTACCAAGGCATGGTCAAAAGCATCATTAATATCAAGGAACACTAGAATTCTATGTAAATTTCTTTTTTTACTTTCATCCACTATGTCTTTCAGATATGCTTCAAAGAGCATGTCTACTGTTTTCATATGGAGTAAAACCAAACTGAATGTATTAGCACATTGTTGTTTTGTTTAGGTTTATAATATCATTCATAATTTGTCTATATCTGTGTGGATATTTTCTAGATTGTGGTTTTGATAGTTATTAATATATAATAATAATAAGAATCATATCTAATCCTAATCATCTAATACACTATATCTATCATACCAGGAATTCATGACTTGCTAGAAATTTTTGTGGTGTTTTCATATACAGTGTTTTTCTGTCTAAGTACAGATATGGGTGTGTGTGTGCAAGTGAACAATATTTATTCAATTAGCATATATATTTAATAAATAAACATTTTTGTATAGTATATATCACTAAGGTAATCTCATTTAATCAATGCATTTTAAACACATGGCAAAGTTATACTATTACTATGTTTTAGGAAACACTGTGAGCACAGGACTAATGACAAAACTAGGATTCTGATGTGGCTTCAATCATTAACTAATATTAAAAATCGATTGTCTCCACATGACTTTTTTTTCCTGTACCAATATAATGTTACCATTTTTCTTGCATTTCATTTAAACTTATTGGCTTGAATTAATCTACTTTGTTGATAGTGCATAAACCATATAGAATAATTCACTATATTTTGTTTACCATAGTGACACTCTGCGCTAAGTTCCCTAACGTGTTCTTTCATTCAATTAATACTCCCTCAGGGCCTCACTTTTGTGAGTACGGGTGTGTCATCCCAGTACTTTAGCCTTCAAGGATCACTTTCTTGTGAGACGGGGGTCACGATCCTGGGGCCCTATGGATGTTTCCTCACTTCCTGTCATCTCTCCTTCTCCTACTATATCCATTTTTTTTCGTCCTTGGGTTTTTCTTTTCGAGTTCGGGCTCAAAGTGGGATCCTGTCACATCCTTTGTTGATGTTTTCTGGAGAGAAACCACCTACGTGTTTGCCGTGCATTGTGACCCATAAGCTTGAAAGAAGGGTCCTGGTAGTTAGGGGCGAGGTCCTGTCCCAACACACGCTTTGGCCTCTGCGTCATATTGAACATGAGGCACTTTTTGTCCCACTATTGTCACGCTCTCCTTGTCCTTCGGGTCATGGGCTGGATAACTTTCGGAGAGCTGACTGTGGGGGCTTCAGATTGCGTATAGACCCGGTTAACCGTAGCGCAGGTTTCTGCGTCCCCTTGTTGGGCTCCAGGGTGGGTGAGGCTGCCGGGTCTGAAGCTTAATTTTCCATTCAATATGGCTCATACAACTTTAATAAATACAAATGAGCATAATTATGCATCAAAACGCTTAAAAACAAATGTAAATGCAGATCCAGATATGAATCCAACAAGCCCACCAAAATTTCCTGTCATAAATGCTATCACAGGCAATCTTAAAAAAATGTTACCATTCGTAATTCAAAAGTACATCCAATCGTCAATTGGAGAACTGAAGAATATGAAATGGTTGCACTCTGGAGATCTTGTTGATAGCTACTCAGTCTGCAACACTCCTTGGATTGAATAAACTTGGACAAATCGATGTTAAAGTGTCAGCACATAAACCACTCAATGTCTCTCGTGGTGTTATCTCAGAGATCGACCTTTTCCATGTTTCTGAAGAGGAAATTGTCTCTGAGTTGTCTGACCAGAATGTCTGTGCTGCCAGACGGATCAAAGATGCGCAAAGAAGGTCAGTTGATTGATACAAAGGATATAATCCTGACCTTCAAGTCGCCTGATCTGCCCAAAAGTATTAAGGCTGGGTTCTTACATACCGAACCCTTTGCGATGTTTCCAATGTGAATGCTTTGGCCAATAAAAAATGTCCTGTCTTGGGAAAATCACATGTGCACGCTGCTCTGTTGAAGACCATGACAGCGAAAATTGCAATGCTGAGCCACTATGTGCAAATTGCAAAGAAAACCACACAGCATTCTCACGACAATGTCCTAAGTGGAAATCAGAAAAGGAGGTGCAGACAATGAAAATAACGAGAAACATATCTTATGCAGAAGCAAGTAAATTGGTAGCAGATGCACAGCTCCGAAAATATTTGTCCTATGCCGGTGCAGTAAAATCCTTTAAATCAGTAAGTACGCAAACAGCAATAGGCTTGCCAAATAAACAGCCTATCCAGAATATATATATATATATATATATAAAATCACAGAAACATGTAACATCAACAGTTAAAGCTCAACAGAATAAAGAAACAAAAGATAACCAAGATGAAAACAGTAAAGAAACTAGGAAAACTTTAAAACCTCTCGTGGATCCCAGCTTGAGCTCCCTTGGGAGCATCAGCTCCGACAGCATAGATTCTGAGATGGATGTGGAAGAGGGACTAGATGTGTTAAAACACCTGCTTCCATGAAAATCTAAAAAAGAGCACCGAAAGAACAAACAACAAAAATAATGGCCACCCTCATCTCATGGAATTGTCGTGCCTTCCACCGAAATCTTGAAAATATTAAAAATTTGATAGATTTACATCATCCTGTGTGCATGGCAGTTCAAGAGACTTTACTAAAACCCGTTCATCAAGCTAAGCTTCGCAGGCACTGTTTCACAATGAAAGATATTCTTGCAGGTGAGCATGTGAGTGAGGGTGTCGGCATCCTGACCTCACTTAACTATCCCTTTAGTCCAATATCTTTAAGTACAGTCCTCCAAGCTGTTGCCATCCAAGTAAATATACAGAGTTTACTTTCAGTCTGTTCTGTTTATTTGCCCCCAAAACATCATATCGCTCAGCGAGAATTAGATAACCTAATTGAACAACTGCCTAAACCCTTTATCATCATAGGGGACTTAAATGTACATAGTCCACTCTGGGGAAGTAGAGATAGAAACCCCCAAAGCAGACAGATTGAGCAAATGATTCAAGACCATTGCCTTTGTCTCCTCAATAATAGACATAACACCTACTTCCATGAGCCTACTAAGACATTTCACGCTCTAGATCTGCTATCTGTTCACCTGTCTCTCCTGCTTTTTTGTACGTTTAGTGTCGGAAATGACCTTTATAATAGTGATCATATTCCTCCCATTTTGGTATCTAAATGCGAGAGGGAGTAAATCCCATATCAAGATTTCCCCGTTTCATACTTACTAGGACAGACTGAGAATTCTCGTCTCTTGCAGAGATTACAGAAGAAATGGTAAAAGATGTGCCAATCAATGAAGCTGTGAGGCCTACCAGCGGCCGAGCAGTAATGTCGCTTAACACTGGTAGTTCGGTCCAAGGTTCGAATCCCACGAACAGGCTGGCTGCATAGGCGTTTTCATGGTTTTCCCCATGTGAATGTGTATATGAGCCAGTTTCCCATAGAAAGTCCTCCACTGAGGCATCCCTCCCCTTAGGCAGATAGCCCTAATGTGTTTTGCCTTAATTAAATAAACCAAACCAATGAAGCTGTGAAAGCAGTCACGGATGTCATAATTCAAGCAGTTACTGTCTCTATTCCAAAAACATCAACAAAGCTTCCTAAGTACACGAAACCATGGTGGAACCGTGAATGTCAAGATACACTGAAACAACAGAGAAAAGCTACATATGTTTTTCGTAAACACCCGACTTTGGCAAACCTTTCAAGATACACTGGAACAACAGAGAAAAGCTTAGTGAGTTTTTCATAAACACCCGACTTTGGCAAAACTTATTACCTTCAAAAAAGCTAAAACAAATGCAAGAAGAGTGAAGCGTAAAAGCCAGAGGGATTCATGGATGTCCTATGTGTCTGGAATAACAACCTCTACGTCTAGTAAACGAGTATGGGAAAGAGTTGGAAAAGCATATGGACTGTACAAAGACTTTTCACTTTCTACTTTCCTTTCTGGAAAAAAATGGCTAAGTGATTGGCACAACAGAAGAAATTGTGAACATAATTGGTGAGAATTTTGCTTCTGTTTTTAGTGGCAGCAACTACTTACGGCTGGCATTTCTTTCTGTTAAAGCAACGCTGTGAAAAAGCTCCCATTCAGTTTCAACTCTCCCATCTGCGACCATATAACAGCGAATTTTCCATGTTTGAGCTGAGTAGAGAATTGATGCAGACACACAGATCAAGCCCAGGTCCGGATGGTATCAGTTAGATATGCTGAAGCATCTGTGTATAAGTCTTTGGTTGCCCTTCTCACCATTTTTAATCGAGTGTGGAAGGAGCTTTCCTTTCCCAGTGCATGGCAGAGAGCTGTTGTCTCCCGATAGCTAAACCTAGGAAAGACTTGAAAAATCCCTCCAACTACCGACCAATCGCTCTTACAAGATGCGTTTGCAAATTGATTTAAATCTTTGCAAACCGCCGCCTAGTCCATTATTTAGAAATAGAAAAATACAAAGTAATCTCACCATATCAGATTGGTTTCCTTTAAGGTAGAACAACTATGGATAATATATTCATTTTAGAAACCTCCATCCGTAAAGCCTTTGTCAAAAGGAATCATTTAGTGTCAATATTTTTTTAATTCAAACAAGCTTATGACAAGGCATGGAGGTATGGCATATTATGTGATCTTTGCAACAGTGGCTTGCGTGGAAACCTGCCAATTTTCGTAAGGAATTTCCTGTAGGCTAGATTTTTTCAAATAAGAATTGACTCAGTGTTATCAGATGTGTTTTGTCATGAAGAGGGTGGTGCCTCAAGTCTTCGTTCTTAGTGTTACTCTTTTTAGCTTAAGAATAAACTCTGTTTTAAAAGAACTTCCTCCTTCCATTTCAGGTTCAATATATGTTGATGACCTGCAGATAAGTTGTCAAGGGGCAGATATGAGATACGTGGTGAGACAGTTGCAGATCGCTCTGAGTAGAATTCAGAAGTGGTCAGATGGTGAGGGCTTTATATTTTCAAAAGAGAAGAGTGTATGCATGCACTTTTGTAAAAAATGGAACCTTCATCCTGAACCTGAGCTTTACCTTCAGGGCTCGTTGATTCCAGTTCTGTCTGAAGTAAAATTTTTAGGTGTAGTGTTTGACCGTAAGCTTACCTTTCTTTCTCATGTGTTATATTTAAGGAAGAAGTGTTTCAAAATAGTAAATCTACTAAAAGTACTGGTGAACACCTCCTGGGGTGCAGAACGTGGCTCTTTACTGCGTATTTACAGATCGCTTGTATGCGCCAGATTAGACTACGGATCAATTGTATATGGATCTGCACACCCTTCTGTTTTAGCGAAACTTGATCCCATACATCATCAGGACCTGAGGATTAGTTCGGGAGCTTTCAGAACGTCTCCTGTCCAGAGCCTATATGTGGATTGTTATGAGCCGACGCTTCAACTATGGCGTGAGCAATTGTCTCTTTACCAGTATTTCAATATTATGTCACAGTCTGATCATCCCCTCCAAGTCTACAGGCTTGATGACTGTCACAAATTTCTATTTTCTGCATGACCACTTAACATACTTCCTTTCTTAGAAAGAACAGAAAAGCTGATAGAAAAATTTTGCTTGTCTGATATCAAGGTCCAGGCAGTAAAGTGTCTAGAATTCCCACCTTGGTATAA